CAAAGTAGCCTGGGGCATACAGCTTCCCACACCTCACTGCCACGCTTCCACGCCCCCTTCATTCTTTTGTTCAGAAGAAGAGCCACTCCCTGTTGTTTGGCAGTCTCCTGCCCCGAGAAGACGACTGTCCATCCCTCATGGTGGCAGGAGCCAGAGCCGGTACACCGGACATCCTGAATACCACAGAGATCCAGGCAGTATAGGTCCAGCTCCCGACAGAGGAGTGGCAGCCTCTCCTCTGCAGTCAGCGTTCGAACATTCTACGTGGCCACACGTAGTTTTTTTTTTGTTGTTTCTGGAGTCGCCCCTAGGGTAAGGATTCAGTCTCCTGGCTCTGCCAAATGGGATTTGGCCAGGAGACGTCATGGACGCCTATCCCCCCAGGGCCTCCGGCACAAGCTTATTAATAAAAAATTTCAGTCGCAGTTTGGTGGTAATTAATTAAAGGTGGAGGTGTTACCAGCCCGTCGCACCCATCCAGATCCCCCATTTGGCCGCTGTGGTTGTTACAAACACCATGAGGGGAGAGGCCAACTTAAATTGGCCCTCCCCCCACGGCACTGGCCACTACAGCGTTGCTGTCCGGCACCACGAGGAGGTAGGGGGTTGTTTTTGCCGGATACACACACACAAACACACAATATTGATCATAGGAGCTTATAGCCTCGGAGAGTGAAAAAAACTGAAAGGCTCTACGTTATCGACTCAGGACTGTACTCTATATAAGTTAAAGTCTCTTTGGATGGACAGCACCAGGTAGATTATATGGAAGTGCTCCTTTCTTTATAAACATGCCACGGTACTCTGTCAGCATTAAAACCCCACTGGACAGCACACACCCACCCACCAACTGATCCATCCACAAAAAAATATGACCCACCCACCGACCCATCCACCAACAAATAACCCACCTACCCACCGACCCATCCACCAACAAACCACTCACCCAGCAACAAATTCCGCACCCACTCACTGAGCCATCCACCCACCCACCCACCGACGCACACCGAGGGCTTTTTTTCGAGTCTTTTTCATTGGAGAGGGACTCTGGACATGGGCATTGTTGTGCTCATAGATTTGACAAGGTCACTCTTGAGGTACAAATTGAATGAACCGAATGAAACATTCACACGAATATACGATCGTTGATTTTTGGCCGGTAAGAGTTTAAAAGTGCATCACAGTCACATAAAAGCCACACCAGAGTTGTTTTCGTCAGCTCGCTTTTCAACATTCATACTTTCTGCTCGTGTATCGAGAGTTAAATTTTAATGTACAATTTTATTGACGGCCTGTGTGTAGAGTTGGTGTGGTCTCAGACTGTTTTTGCTGTTGTTTTTCTGCCTTGCCCAAGCTTGGAAATTGACGTACTTATGCAAGTTTTACTTATTTTATTTATATAGTTTTTATTTAGCTATTTGTGCATCTATTTACTTTTGTGTACATACGTGAAAAAGAGCTTCATATCTCAACGTATTTCTCCAGAATATATATTCGGCGTCTGTGTCTGGCCAAGAGGGATCATTCCATGAGGGGGTTGTCCACTTGACATTCACGAACGTGATCACAAAGAGAGAACCGCCATGAGGCACATGAATACATGAACTAGTGTGGAATTGCATTATATATGTATTGTATGCAAAACAGTTGAGGCCTGTAATATTGAAATGAAATGAAGACTTCCATGTGTTCGTCTATTTTTAAAACAGTCATCCCTGTTAATACTTACCAAATTAACGTCTGATGTTCTTTACTCGAACCCAAGGACAAGCGGTGAGTTATAGGTGAAGTTTAGTGCCACTGTGCAGAGTGTACAAATGGAAAGAGTGAAGGCATGTCACCTCAACTACATCATCATCATCATGGCCAGCCAAGGTAAATCTATCAAGTCGTCCTGCCATCTCTCTTGGTCCTGCTGTGCAAAAATAATTATATCGCTCCATCTCCGTGGTGGATGACCCTCTCGGTATGCTCGCTTCGTTGATAGTCTCGACCACCAGGCCATCGTCCATTCTAGCGATGCGTCCTGCCCAAGCCTGCTCGCTAACGTTTCTTAACCGTCTAGCTTGTACCTGTTTTCAATTTCACGTGTTCTTCTCTTCTTGTCTTTCAGTGTAATTCCAAGAATGAATTTCTCCATTATTCTTTGCACCTGTGGTGCCACGACAGCGTGGGAGCCGTGCCTGCAACGGGGGTGCTGCAGCAGAGAAGCCACCCGGCTGCCGTCACAGCGCTTCCCCCACCACCCTCCACGTGAACACACACATGCACTCACGTAGGGCCTCGTGGGGGGGGGGGGGTCACCTGCCCCTGAGATTTTACCCGAGACCCATTCCTCGTGGGGGTGCTCCACGGTTTCTCAGGGAATTGGCAGACCCCCCCCCCCCCCAGGCCGAATGACACTGCGGCGCCGTGGATTAATCTAAAATTGTATGGCCACAGTGAACTCACTGAGGACCGCAATGAGGAAACACCCAGGGCACATGCGGATCGACAGGCAGGTGGGGGGTGGGGCGGTACAGGAGGACCCTCATGCTGTGCACTTGGTTAAACAATAGAGGGCGGGCGTCGGAGAGGGGGCTGATCTGATTGGTAGAGAGCGGGAAATCTGAGGCTCCTGATTGGATGAGAGGCCAGCGGATCGGCGGCGCGTGGGCTTTGAAGTAAGGGAATAAAAAGGGACGAAGAGGAGAAGCAGGCCTCTCTTTTGCCTGGGGTCTTTTGGAGTGAGGGACCGAGGAGTGATCGTCCCCTGCTACTCGAACGTCCGTGAGACGGGTCGCAGAGTAGCCAGGCCCAGCCCCCCAGCAAAAGCCACGTGCAGCCTCGCCTTTCCGCGACTTCCTACACCTCGAGATCGGAGCGTAAGTACGGAGAGGAGAGGTAAGTCTAAGGGGGAATATCCGTTAAAGAGAGTGAGTGGGGAGAGATGGGACAAATTGGGCCCTAGACCGTAGAGAGATAGGTTAGATCTGCCCTGCTGGTCCACACTGACACAGGTAGGGTGGCTTCATTAATCGAGGAATAAATCGCCAGTAGACATTAAACCGTGTCGTGTTGTCTCTGTGAGTACGGGGGGGGGGGGGGGCGGGGTGCATGGTGTGGTCAGCCTGTGCGTTGTGGTGTCCTGTGTTTCCGCACGAGCGTGTATTCTGCCCGCGTGGGTGCTCTCGCGCAGCTCGGGGTTAGCGTGGACGAGAGGGGCACAGCGGCGTATTCGCAAGGTGGTTAGTACAGCCATTTAAATCATGCCACGAGGGGCAGCAGCGGGGGGGGGGGGGGGGGCAGCGGATCGGGGGGGGTCACAGGAGAACGGGGAGACGAGCGGCAGCCGCCCCAACACACTCTTTGCAGCTTTTGCCCCATTACTCAATCTGCATGCGTCTGATCCACTTGTCGGAGCAGGTCATGTGCACTGATTGAACACCTTCTTCTCTAGGCACAATGGTAAATTGATGCATAGCACGTGAGATATAACTTGGGCAGTTATTGAAGGTGTACCTGGATGAACCGAGTCAATAAAAAAGGTGGATGATTCAAAGCCTAAACTTAATTGTGAAAAGCAATACAAGTCCATATATTTTTTGCGGTCGTGTTGTATAATGTAAAATCACTCATGAATTGGCTGAAAACATTTTGCTATATAGAGGACTGCAGAGCTTGTGCAATTGTTGGTGCCTCTCTCACCGCTTTGCTTGCCGTCCAGCATGTCTGTGGTTCCTCGGCGATTGTGAGATGCAATTTGCACGAAAGCCGACGCTATAGAAATCTAAACGTGATCATTCTCCGACACGTCTTCGGGTTTTTGCCGCGCCTCTTTGGCACGACGTCTGACGTTGCGTTCTAAACGCGTTGGCAGCTTCTTCAGAAACTGAACTGAGCGGCTCGCATTTCTCATCTTTTTCAAGGAGCGATGTGAATGTGCACATGCTCCAACATGCAACATGAGAGTATGTAACATTGCCCAATTTGTGGATCCTCCTGCATACGAAATGGATATTTGCGTTTCATTTGGAATTCAGTAAAGCCAAGTGAGATGAACGTTAAAGGAGACATAACAACCCTTGCGAATACCGCCATCAATTGGCAATTGAATAACAAACAAAGTGAATGCAATTGAAACACTAAATACGAGAATTTCGGGTCTGCTGAGTTGTTGGAGCTGTAACATTTTCCTTCGAGCCTAAGGCAGTGACTTTTATTAATATGTATTTTCTGGTGTGTATGGTGCTTTTCTCAGACCTTCCCTGTGATCTTTATATATTTTTTTCCATCAGCCCCACAGTTAAAGATTACATGACTCGATTCCAAGATGGTCATGCCACATCAGAGATGATATTACTTTCCCCAATTTCTCTCCACTTTCCTCCCGCTTTCATGTCTCCCCACCGATCTTTTTGATGCTCTGTTAGAGATAAATTGGCACTGTCGCATACAAACGGCCTGACGTACTGTACATCATCATAATCGTCAGCCTTTATCAATCCATTGCTGTATGAAGGCCTCCTGAGCTGCCACCATCTCTCGCGATGTGTAACTCCACCTAACATTCGCACATGAGCGGAATTTATTGCTCCATCTCCTCGGTGGACATCCTCTTGAAAGCATTCCATACCTTTGTAGCCACACCATCTTTATTCTTGATAACAATGAAGATGACGATAATAATCAGATTTTTTTTTATCCTGCACAATATTTCAGAGACGTAAATGACCGTGACCCTGGCATCAACCCTTTTAGCGATGTCTCCTGCCCAAGATCACTTACCTTTGACAGTCACTACGATGCCATTGACTTGTGTATCATTCACAAGTCTACGCGTTCTTCTGTCCATCTCTCACATATACAAATTACATGTTAAACCTGTGCAATACTCGTCAAATTGCGTTCCACGCGTTGGCAGAAAAAAAACTTAAACAAAAAAGACTCCCCTCACCCTGACATCTGTTTCTCCATACCCTTTCTGTTTTTTAAATAAAATAAAATAAATTCGATGCAATATTTTCACGCACAGATTTCACTATTTTACGTGATGTCTATCATGACAGCACACTTTTGCATTGTCATAACCGCCGTGTTGCAGTGTAAATTGATAAGTAATGAGTTGCTTTGAGACCTGGGGAAATAAAATGATTTGGAGATGTCTCTAAATTGCATGTCTTGGGACTCCAGAGACTCTCACTGCTTGCTAATGGGGCCATGATGATTTAAAATTATGTGTCACTTAGGGGTGTTTTCGTAAAATTATGATAAAAACCTTGAAATAAGATCCGAGTAGGGATCCCATATAATTAATTGCCCAATGAGGTGTCTCTCTCCTAGTTTTAATTTAAATATTCTTGTAATTGCCTCTTTGCATGATGTTTTCCAGAATGGTTCAGGTAAACCGGCATAACAATGCAACTCTGATACACATTGCTATACCGCTGTGCCACAGCTAAAACAACTATCATCACCATTATCATCCATGTTCAATCCACTGCTGGATGAAAGCCTATCCAAGATGTGTGGGTCATGAGGGTTATTTGACCATATATCACCACTCTGGCCATTGTTGGCTTGTGAAGTAGTGTGCCAAGAACCAGTTCAGATACTACTAATCGCCGATGTTAACCATGGCCGGGAGTTTAACTCTGGTGGCCTGGTTTGCGTTCAGTGCGCTAACCTCTGTGCTACAGTTCGCCCTGCTATAAGAATATTGATGATAAGACTCGTCCTGATAATTTGGAGAGGGTTGCCCTTTGCTGTACTGGATGCATCTCAAGAATTCTAACACGAGGAAGTAAAAGAAAGTATATATATTTTTTTATCAACAATGCATTGTTGTTGTGCTGTGGTGCAAATGGAAAAGCCTTGTCAAACGATGATTTCGGGGCAATCTGGTCTGTGTTGACACTGAAAGAAAATGTGGTAATACGAAGTGGCAGAAGATGTTCCTGTCTTTTTGGATAGTTTCTGCTGACTCGTAAGGTCTAAGAGGTGACCGCTGCAAGCACTTTTTGTTTGCTAGCAGAACAAACAATAAGAGGAGTTACTCCCTGGGAAATTAAAACCCTCTCTTTGTTTCAGCACTTTCCTCTCGTTATAATGCAAATAATCATAAAAGTAAGTACTATTTTCTGTTCAAGCGCTTTTTTCTCCCTATAATCCATCATCATCATCACGAGCCATGGTCAATCGACTGTTGATGGAGGAGTCCCGCAGCCCCTGGCCACCCCAGCCATGGCGGCTACGTATGGTGCCAAAGAAGTTCAACATACGTACATACACCTCTCGAAATCCAATTCGCTCGGATTATTGTGCTACAGTTATTTTAGTAAGGTTACCCTTCTATTTATTAAAAAATACACGTTGTTATAGGTTGTGTTTTACCAGCGATTTAAAGAGGCGTTGCTCCTTGGTTTGTTCAGGGACGAAAATCAGTCCACCTACCTGGTATATTTCTGGCAGTTGATATTCATTCAACGCATGCTCCGATTGATGCGAATATCTGAAATGCTTTGTTATTTTGACAGTTGTGAGCCAGTAATACGTCTCACTTTAAGCTATAATTGCACCACAGGCTGCTTTAAGGAAAACAGGCCCTGGGAGAGCTTTTTTTGACTTATGATTATTGTCTTAAATTATTTCCATGTGTTGTTTGTTTACGTTTGCGCAATGAGCCTCCAAATTTGTGGTATTTAAACTGTCCTCGTTGGACGCGAGGCGAGGCATTATGCGTTACAAACATCTGGTTTTGTCTCTGCAAGCTGCTGGACTGGCTGTATGTAAGCTTCATATTTTCCAGCTGACAGACCACCGTAAACAAACACTGTGCACTCAACACAGCGACAAAAAAAACATCACGTCATTAGAAAGAATTGTAGGTCACTGAGAATTTAGTGAAAAAAAAGTTATTTCATTTTCAAGAGAGGCAGTCTGCAGGGTAATAACATCAATTCTCACGGGACTAGTAAATGGCATGCAAAACTGTGATGGATGTTTACTTCCCAAAGCCAGGACGATATGAACAATACCATGTTTGCCTTTCTCCCTACACACACGTATGTGTGTGTTTCCCCATAGGGAAGCGATATCGTAGTGGCTAATACGCGACTCTACATACTCGGCGACCTGAGTTCGATTCCTGCTTATGGTAAAAAAAAATCAGCGATGACTATCTGAACTGGTCTTGGGCTTTCCCCTAGGTTGACTCAGCCTTAAATGATTACCTGGTGCAGTGTGTCCATGTGTTCTGTACAGAGCCTATTTCGTACACATGCAGAGCTACTGTAGGCCTATGTCTCGGGTGTTAGATTGAGTGCTTGCATGTACCCAGATGGGTTTTTACAACAAATATACACCTCCGATGTGTTTATGCGTTACACCGCAACGTTGTTCGGAATTTTCTTTCCACGTTTACCTCCACAAAGAAGTTCCCAGCAGAGGGAGTGCAACGTCGGACACCAGGCGTGTCGGACAACACTCGTTGGTTCAGCTCAACGGCGTGAAATCTACGCGGGGAGTTTTCTTTTTCTTTTTTACAAAGAATCCTTCCATCTCGCAATCGCGAATCGATGACGTTGCCTACAGGGGGAATGAATAAATAGCACAAATTTAAATTTTGAAATGTAACACGTGCACCTTACTTTTTTTCAGCCCCTTGGGAGCAGAACCCTCCAGGAAGGAGCGTGAGGAGTGTTGGAGAGGTGCCGCGCAACATTAGCTCAGCACCTCCGCTGAGATGAGCAGAATTGTAAGTGCGCGGAGTTAATTTCTGACAGAGCACAAGTACCTCTTATTATTAGTATGAAGAGTAGTGTGCTGAATGTTGGATCGTTCGAAGAACCGTGTTCACACTCTTGCACAATGGGTACATATCTGATGTGTGACGTCTTTTTGTCTGTTCGGTATAAGCTATGATATGATCCATACATTTATGCGCTGGTGTATGTAAATGCAATCAATGAAATGGCTCTGTTTTAATGTAATAGTTATATTTTGTAGTTATTTTTAAAGTGAATAAGAACGTAAATACATTAGAAATGTTTCATACATGTAACTTAAAACCCAGAAAAGGACTGTTTCCAATGATGGTAAATATAGTTGACAGTAAACAACACAGCGATAAAACGCTTTGCGTTAAGTACCAAGGGTTATTCATCACTAGCAATGTTAACGAAACAGCTTTTCTGAAATGAGCTCATGCAACGTTGTCACATTTATTAAAATGAAACGGCATTGATCCTTGGAAAAATGTATATCAAAGGCGATAAATGTGACGATTTAGAATAACCGCACAACTGAATTTAATCTCTTGTATTGTAATAGGATCTTCAGTAACACATCTAATCAATATGGGACCAATGCCTTCTCTGATGTGCATACTCAGATTTGTGTCCCATTATCTTGATAATTCACTTCATGCTTTCCCTGCTCACCGTTGCTTTACCTTTTTCTATAATATCACTTGAGCTATTTGGCTGAAAGCTTTCTTTCCTTGAGCAATCCATGTACAACAATGAACGCATAAGTACCTGGTACTTTACAAATACACAATCAGTGCTTTCACACACACACCAACATTCTGCCTCCACGCGCTGAGTGAGACCGAGCAATTTAGACTCTCGCTGGATGCCTTGCCAACGGAGGTTCTGAAAATTTAATTCTTTAACTGATAATATTCACCTTTCCGGCAAATGAAAAGCTCCGGTTTCTTTGTCGTTTAGCCGACAGCCAGATGCATTCAACTCTAGTCTGAAAAACTGGCTCAGAGATCCGAGGTCCAAGTGTCTCATTGTGTATGTACAGCATACACATGTATGTACAGCACAAGTGTGTTCCGTTATTTAAGTAATCCACAAGGCTCAAGGGGAAAAACGAAAGAATATTTTTTCGACAAATTCCAAACTAAAGAGAAATTTAACGTGCTTCGAATTCATCGCAGTGCAGTTTTTTTTCTATTGTTCATATCACAAACGCAGATTGAAAGCGGAGCTACATTAACGAGTTTCGATATCCGTTTTTGGTCAAAAATCAAAACCTTGCACTTCCGCAAGAACAACAAAAAAAATGTAAGCAGATTTTCTGCTCACATTGCTCATCTATTTTTTGTATACCATAAATGCTGCTCAGAGAGCCAACGGGACTGGCTGGCTGGATGATGATGATGATCCCACAGCTGGTGGGTTTTGAGAGTTTGCACATCGGATGGATGTGGTGCATCGACATTTTTTTGTATACCATAAATGCTACTCAGAGAGCCAACGGGACTGGCTGGCTGGATGATGATGATGATCCCACAGCTAGTGGGTTTTGAGAGTTTGCACATCGGATGGATGTGGTGCATCGACATTTTTTTCAAACATCCTGTAAAACCATTTACTCTTGCCCTGGACACGCTCTGAGTTAATTGCTCAGAATTATGAATGATGTATTTTGTTTAAAGTGGCATTGTGAATGTTATATGAGGCGTCGGTGACGCTTAATTGCAATCCAACAGTTGTGAGAGAAAAAAATAAATGTTAATAGCGCTTTTAATTAATAAGTCAGTGGTGATATATGTTACATTAATGCAGCAATTAAACTTTGCGTAATGGTCCAAAAGACTTTATTGCTAACAAAGTCCATTTTTAATGGATGCATTAATAAATTGGTGCATTTTTTTACGTGATAACAAAAGCTATAGCCCGATCGCAGCTATTACATGTGTAGTGTTGCAGACTCTCGTGAGCTCTTGCGTTTCGTTTGACATCCGAGACAACTTGTGGAAATCGGTGGGCGCAAGGAATCGCGACGTATGAACAGGACCCCAGCGAGGACGTGGATCGACGATGAGATCAGTTGTGTGTGCCAGGTCGATCGTTACTTCGCGAAGCCTTGAAGAGGTGGCAGCGGCTTAGGGGAACTGCCCCCCCCTCCCCTATCGCCCCTCCCCCCCTCGCCCCTTCTCCCTCCTCCTTTCGTACGGCTGATGCAGATGCAGGGCAACACCTACAATTTCACATTCAGGTGGTCAATGCCAGATGCACCGCGTCAGGAGTAGTTGAGTGTGTCATCATGGATGTGATGTCTCCTTCGTGTTTTTGAATCGGACGTTGCGTCGTTACATGTCGTGCGGTCTGTTCTGGGTGAACACAGTCGCACACAACTGGAGAGTTTTCCATTTGTGCATCGGGCATCCGCTGGTTTATGTGGATGCGGTGTAGGGTGGACCATGAGCTTCGTGGACGATCAAACAACAGGGATCTTCTGCGTCGGGTCTTTCACAAGGAATGACCATGGCTGATGGCGATGAAAATGTTAATGTGCATTGACAATGTATTGCTGTGTAGCATAAACAACCGCGAGTTTAATGAACTTTACTGCCAACGCAGTTATTATTCCTCGGATGTGTAAGGTGGTGCTGTCCAGATTATATTATATATTTTAAAGGATCCTTTAATCCTCCTGCCAGCAATTACATCTGTGCTGTTACGCCTTGTTTGGGAAATACTCTGTAATCCTTGCCACTCATTTGCATACACATGAAAGCTCAGTCTACACTCTCATGCCTCCCAAATGAGATTTTTTGTTGCTCAGAAAAAAAACACGTTGTAAGGGGCCCTACACGAAGCCCTGTAATTACATCGTGTAATAGATGGACCGCTGCTCTTATCACGACCTTTGGCTTTGCAGGGGTTTCACTAATCCAAAATACTGACATGTTTTTAACCATCTGCGTATTTACAGGTCACGGTGGCTGCCGGTTGAGATTTGATGCCATCTGCCCCGAAACAAAACGAAACAGATGAATTGATGAAAGACAAAACACATTACGAGGTCAAGTGAGCTGACAGATGTTGTCTCTACTACTGGATTAAGAATAGCCGTTTTTGGTATCATACGCGGCAGGCGTCGATAAATAAAACACCAATGTAGCACAGAACTGTACTGACTCTGCTAAAGGTCATATCGGTAAAGGCGCAGCTCTGTAAACATCTTGGCCACACCACCGCTGCTGGAAAGGCCTCCACTCGAGTGAGAAATAGCCAGCCTGGCTCCTACGCTGTCCAGACATCTTGGAAAAAAGTTGGAGTAGCTACACGTGACCTACTGATAGACTAACTGCAGTGTACCCATATATGATTTAAACAAAACTTGACCCATTAATTGTTTTAACTGCTGTGCTGGAAGACCAAGAGTGCAGTGTGCTAATCGTTGCTTTGTTGCAGTGCCCATACCAAACGCGGTGCAAGTCTTAAACGTAGCAGTTTTAATGCAGCAAAAACACATTCGACGAACCCCGAGCAGATTTCACAGAAGTAATATCGCTATGATGAACATCAGCAGAGAGCAGAACAAAGCACAACAACATCAATTTGCCGGTATCACATGAAGTTGCTACAAGCTTGGGTTCTGTAATATAGTAGATATGTATGTGTGTGCACTAGCAGGCTGCTGGCCATTTAGAAAGCTGCAAGTCGGTTGTACAAAACTCTGTTCAGACAATACAATAATTTTATAATAATCATCATTATTTACAGGATTTTGCCACTCCGCTGCTGGATGAATGCCTCCGAGGACAATGATGCTCACGGGGGCTGTTTGACCATATTGCTCGGTGCTGCTTGAGGAAGTGAGAGGATCTCCCGTGGTGTGGTTCTGGATGTTACATCGCTTGCTACCAGTCTGAGCCATGGCCAAGAATTGAACTAAGGTAGCCGAGTGAGCAGTGCGGCGTGCTAACCACTGTGTCACCGCTCCACCCTGTGGATATAAAATAACCTTTATTTCACTTGTTGGTAGAGGAATTATGCAAACGAGTTTGCAAATACCAGCCGGGCATTATTTGATAAGACCGATTGCTTGCGTTTTTATGAAAGGTCGCCTGTCAAAACAATGACTGGCACTAAGCTGATTAAAAAAGAAACTCTGTGCTATGAATACCACAAATACCTATTATGCAACAAGTACCCAATCGCTGTTACGTCACGCAGTAGGAATCGGTGGCAGCTCCAGGCTCCAGTTCTAAGAAAGATAGACACGCCACTTCGGATTTGTTTATTTTTTTCAGTCCCAAGTGATGCAGTTCGAGTTACTGAGCGACGACAATGTGATGAAGATGTCACCATGGCCAAAGCCGTTGGTGCCATTGCACCTCGCCAATGCGTTTAACCCTCTCCCAGATCCCACAACTGCTGCACGGGAGACGTGTGACCTCCACGATCTGCCCTGACAGGTCTCCCACCATCTACCCTGAAGGTCTTTCTCTTCCCCATAGTCGTTGGACTCGTGGAGACAACTCCGACATCGAGTCTTAAGACCGAGTGAGGCTTGTTTAAGATAAATAAATTACGTTAATAATTATATCAGCGCTTTCTCTAGCAGATGGGCTCATGCAGTCCATCAGTCCGAGCGGCTTCCCAGCAGAACCGGTCTGATGGGAGCCCATCGCTCGGACTTTAATCACCACACACTTTCATTGTCTATCCACTGCTGGATGACGGCCTCCACACTCCGCCCAACTCATGCCTTCATCAGCACGGTGGCGGCCAGTCGTACAATAAAATCCACCCGCGCTCCTAAAGCACCCGTGGTTGGAAAACCCGGAGATGGAGTTTACTGCCTCCTCAGGCCCGGTGCCACGGATTGACAACTCGCCGAAATAGTAACGTTCGCAATCGTCGGCCGCGTAGTCCAGCGGTCAGTGTACTCTTTGCTAATAGATGGGAAAGTAACCTTTCCTAATCGACGCATTGCTCTTCGCAGCAGAGGTGCGTAAGCGCAATTAGCACAGAAATCTCAACACATTTGTCAATAACAATGTGACCTTATGAGCAAAAGCATCGTATAAATATTCGTCTTTTTAAGGCAGTGTTATTGCTACTGATTGTGAGCGGGTTTTATTTAGATATAGTAAACCTTTCATGGTTGTGTTTATTGCTGGGAGCTTGGCCTTTGGGCCTGTGCTCAGCAAGCGTGGTAAAAAGTAAAAAATAAAATTCATCAATGAGCCAGCTTGAAAAGTGGATGTCGAATATTCGCTACCACCCAGTAATTGCTGCTATGAGAAATTAACAAAGCGCCCTATTGAGAGGGTGTGGGGGGGGGGTAGAGGCCTTTCAGAAATGGTGGAATTATGCGTGGTGAAGAGGCCAGTGTATGACAGCGTTGTGGACTGAAGCCAAAACATAAAAATTGCCTTCAGAAAATTCCAAAATTGAAATAAAGTCGCCCGTGTGTGTAATTACGATGTCTTGTCGCCCTTGATAAAATAAAGAGTAGATCTCTATTTTGCTTATCAGCCGTTAAAGCAAATAACATTGACTCAACGACAATGTTACAACAACAATAACCCCTTCATTCATTAATTTACTGAAAACATCTTAATATAAAGAGCACCACAGAGCCGGCTCACCGCCTGGCTGCCTTTCAGTTTGTCTGTGGTTCTCCGGCGATTGTGAGGTGCAATTTGCACGAACGACAACGCAATATGCAACTAAATATTGTTATAATTATACGTCTCACTAGCACAGCCATCGCTGCGGTGGTTCGCTTACATTGACATGCTAATCTCTCACAATACAATGGCCACCTCAACAGCTGCGTCATCGTGGAGGTATATCAGCTCTACGATCTTACATTTACATGCAAATTTCACTCTAGCCACGCTCACTTACCCTTGGGCTACGCCCATCTCAAGCCTATATAACATCCTGCTTCAGCAGCTCTCTGATCTTACATTGACATGCAAATTTCCTCTCTAGCCCCGCCCACTTACCCTTGGGCTACGCCCATCTCAAACCTATGTAACATCCTGCTTTAGCAGCTCTCCGATCTTACATTGACATGCAAATTCCATCTCTAGCCCCGCCCACTTACCCTTGGGCTACGCCCATCTCAAACCTATGTAACATCCTGCCTCAGCAGCTCTCCCGCTATATATGTTTTTCACATGATGACGATTGCTTGTGTTGCAATCGAAACGTCGTGATATTTTTTCTTATTTTTCTATCTACGTGGCTTTTCCGAAAGACCCAACGAATATGAATTTCTGCAGTGACGAAAGCTTTAAGTCAAGATTATATGTAACATTAAGATGGTAGCATAGTTTGTTAGTCCATTGTGTAATGAACCCAGTGACCTGAGTTCCGGTCTTAACCATGGCCAGCATCGGTGGGCAAGTGATGTCTGAACTTGCACCAACCCGCACTGACCAGCATGGTGAAGTATGGCAAAAAAACAAAACCTCCCAATGCCGACAGTATAGGATGTCCTTCATCCAGCAGTGCATTGACAAATGGCTGTAAATGACTACCATTATAAACTTTCCAGGTGAATTATTAGATTTCAGGATGGTTGTGGTTTGGGGGAGGCCTTCATCCAGCAGTGGATTGACCGTGGGCTACAGATAATGACAAACCCAAGATGACAACGCCAGAGTAAATTGCAATAACAATCTTGCACAGAGTAAACAAATTGAAGAATACATGGATAAATAAAAAAAACGTAAAGATGTCCGTTCTATTTAAATAGGACGGACATCTTTCCCAACAAATACAGAAGACGCGTTAATTAAGCTTCCTCATGAACGTAATTTTGGGAACATTATTACACCTGCTTAGATGAAGTAAGCTAAATTTATTAAACTTCAAATCTAGATTGAAGCTACATTTAATTGATTTAATTAGCCGCCTTTGTGTGCTTAAAGTTTATTTAATGATGAAATATTAAAACGCAGAAAATAATTAGGATATACTGTGGTTATTATTTTCAAGATTTACATTACACAGCGTGATACGTGATGTATTGGGGTCTCAAAACAGCCGCAATAAACTAGCTTATGCCTTCTTCATTGCAATGTTATTGTCTTCTCTGCACATTTGCTTTTGGGGCAGAACAAGAAAGCTGTGTCTTCATCCCTCTCGATTACCAGAGACGCTTTAGGGAATGACCGGAGAGGGATTCAGAGTGAGGGGGGGGGGGGCACACATCAGTCACGTGATTAGGCTTGAGGTGATTTCGATGTATAGATATACAGCCGTGAATATTACAAGAATTGTCTTGCATTCTCCAGCTAAACTTTCACCATGATAAGCACTCCGGCTGGAACACATTTATCTATGTGCATGTCTTGGTACGAGGAATAATAATACTGCTCCAAAGTTGGCATGCTTACACAAGTGCAACTGGAGCACATTAATCTCGAAAGCCTTGCCTGCAGGCCGATGGATTAATCATTCCATTCTTTCAACAATTAAACAAGCCCCTAACCTTCTCATTTATATTCATTCCAACAGGGCAATTCCCCAAAGCAGGGAAAAATAATATGCATTTGTTCAATAACGCACACATTAAATAAAAAATCGTGCATGCGTGCGCAATGTCTTCGACCAGATCATACCGAATGCGCCTGACCATGATGGACATAAGGAGCCAGGGAGAGTCAAGCGTGGTTAGCACGTGGATAGGTACATTCTAGGTTTGTTTGGCATATAGCTGTGATGTCTGTCAGGTGCCAGTAGATGACTGTACAGCAGTGGGTTTGGTCCAAAGATAGATTTGGTTCACTTAGAGGCGTGTATTTTGCTTGTGAATCGCATCTATCGGTGTGTGTAGGTCTCAATGTGTTTACGATCACGTGTGGGTTATCAACACGGAGTCCGGTTTCCATCCACAAGCCAAACACTCAGTTACCGAAGTGGTCAAACGTCCCTGTGCGGGACCCTCCGGAAAAATATTCTCGAGACTCAGTGACGTTCTCAAGGTACACAAACTGACATTATTAATAATAATATTGTATGTACGTAGCTAACCGTGCTAATCGGAGGTGTAGCAGGGGAAGGACAACAAACTTAACACAATTAAACCGATGTTTGATTGCGTGATTCTAAAAGACTATCACATGGCACGACACAAGACATCATGCAATATTAATACTTTGAGGTCATGTGGGAACCGTTGAGATGCGGCTTCTGTTTTTTTCAAAGGAGATCTGGGATGAAGTGGGAATTTAAACACGTGACTTGCCCGAGCCGTCGTACGCTACAGGGAATTAATTATTCAGCATTGATTTAGGTTTATGCAATATTTTCGATTTCTCACATGACAGAGTTGGGTTTATTTTGCTCTGGTTTCTATTCGCTTCATTGCTTTACTCTTTGTTTGTTTGTTTTGTTTTTGTCGTGTTGATTGCCCAGGTCACTCCGGCAAACGATACTATCGTGGTCACTTGAGTTCTCGCCTGGTTAAACAAGGTAAACTTAAACAAGGTCAACTTGACTTAACTTTCACTTGCCCGCCAAACAAACTCTAGCCCACTGAGTCGTCATGCTGACGTAAAATACTTGCATGCACGCGTACACACAAACAAAAGACAAAGACCCCTCATATAGCCTTAACCGACTTTTGGGGCAAGTGCTCTTAGCTACTAGCACCTATGAAGGCGGGAACAGCACACGATGGGGTGAGTGGCCAGCACCACGCCCAGCCGCATTTGTCTCCCCAATGGCGATGTTTAAACTGCCTCAATTGAGGCTGAGTGACCTATGGGAGGCCCAGGAACGGTTCAGATAATTGCCACTGGTGTTGGGTCGCCGGGTTCGTAGCAGCAAGCGCTAACCGTTGCACTGCCGCTCCACACACGCACCCATGCATATACACGCGTGTCACACATCCATTTGTTGTTTCCACGCTTAATCATAATATTCCAACTTAATTCGGAGCAGGGTGCCTCGCGTTGCACGAACATGCTGTGATCACCAGCCACTTGACCTCTGCTTGATGTGCCATGCGCATTGTGGTTGTTGATAATTTAAAGAAGCTTAGTGCTTCGGCTGTCGAGATCTGGCCCGAGCCGGCATCTGGGGCACAGGGTAAATAGCTAAAACAAATTACATGCCCCTTTCCCACAGGCCACGCCAGGCCACCAGTGTGTGATTAGTGTTGCCATACCCACACGCACAAGCACGCAAACAGAAACAGCCAGTTCCGGGAATAAATAAATTTGATATTTGTCCAACAGTATATGCAAACTAGAAGAAAAAAAATGTCCATGCTGCAGCCAAATTATAAACAGCCTTCATTTAAACCGGGTGATATTCTGCACATTTTCTTTTGCAATGGAGACTTGGGACATGTGGAAAAAAACGATCAACGTGACCTCGTGCATTGTTGCGTGTTTGTGATCAAATCTCGGCCTTCGTATGTCAATTGTCTTGCGACGTTACTGCCCATATGTGTGCCACTAAGCCCTGCATGGGGCTTCTAACTTGTTGATGCATATAATAGGACGGGCCCTTGTTATTACTCGAGTTGTTCATCATTAATGTGTGGATAATCTTCTCAGCTGGTATCATGGGCCTGATAATTGGTATATGATGATAGATTCTTGTGAACAATGCCAGAGCAGCTTTATTGTCCTCTTTTCATCAGATGATTGACTCCCAATCAATTCCTGGATCAATTTCAAGGTCCCACTGCACGTCTTCATGATCACCCATGGACTCGCCTCGCCTGCCTCTCCCCTTCTGATCTCACGCCACTCTGCTCCACTTTCTGCTCCAGGAACCAAACTTTTTTGTCAAAGCACCCAGTCAACCTTCGCTCAGTGGCTCTTACCCAGCCCACTCTTGCCAATGAGAATCTATCCTGGTCTATTGAGTTATCACCTTGTTCTACAAATTTAGACTTGAACTCCTCTGTTACTCTCATAGTCTGCAACTCCCTTTTCCCAACCACCCACATTGTCAATTCCCTGCCATTATCCAAGTGCACACTCAAGACCTTACATTTGCCCTCTACTATGAATGTTTCTCTCTATTAAATAATTATGTCCACTGTTTCTGGATAGAAATTTTAGATGCAGTTGCACTTAGACTCCAGATCAATAATAGTTGTTTCCATAAAGAAGATCCATGAAGAAGGTACCCCACTACGGCCCATCGTGTCCACGGTCAACTCTCCTACCTACAAGCTAGCCCATTTTTTATCGGATACTCTGCTTCCCTTCACTGGCAAAACCACCTCAGCAGTACTTAACTCAACCCAATTGGTTTCTATTGTCAAGGACATTGTACTGTCTCCTGACGATTTCCTCGTCAGCTTTGATGTGGCCTCTCTGTTCACCAAGGTCCTAGTGCCTGACACCATAACAATAATTGAAGACTTGGTCCAACATGGACTGAACCCTGATGTACCTGTGCTGGTTAGGCACTGCCTCACCAAAACTTACTTTACCTGGAATGGTACCTTCTACAAACAAAATGAGGGTACCCCTATGAGTTCCCCCTTGTCACCAGTGATAGCCAATGTTTTCATGGAGAAGTTCTAATCAGACGCCATCCAGACATCCACCCTTCGTCCTTCCCTGTAGAAGAGATATGTGGATGACACTTTCGTCATTTGGCCACATGGCCTCCCAGCATTGAAACATTTCCGAGACCACATCAATTCCGGACACCCATCCATCAAATTCACCACGAAAGTGGAGAAAGATGGCAAGCTGCCATTCTTGGATGTTCTGTTTGAGAGGAGGCCTGATGGCTCTTTGGGACATTCTGTTTACAGGAAGGCCACCCACACAGATTCCTACTTGAAGCCTGACTCCCACCACCACCCGGCTCAAAATAGTTCCCTCATCAAAACACTATACCATAGGGCTCATTGCATTTCTGAGCAACACCACCTGGCCAGTGAATTAAAACATGTATATCTGGCCCTCAAGATGAATGGATACTCTGACCGTACTATCCGCCAAGCTGTTTCTCCCACCATACAGAAACAACCACCTGATACTCTGATCAAAATCATCACGTTGTCATACATAGCAGGCGTTACCAAAAAGATTTCCAAATTTCTAAACAAACACAAGATCCAGGTCCGGTTCAATACAGTACACAAAATCTGTGATCTGATCCCATCCGTAAAGGATGTCATTCCTGAATTACACTACCCCGGTGTTTACAAATTGAGTTGTACCTGCGGTGACTGCTATATCAGGGAGACGAAATGACATATTTCTGACCGAATTCGCGAGCACAAATCAGATATGAAACACAGCAGAACGAATTCTTCGGCCGTAGCTGATCATTGTTTCAACACAGCGGGTTCTCATGATATTGTTTTCTCCGATACCAAAGTACTCTGCAAACCTCCCGGATATTACCAAAGATTTGTACATGAAGCCATGCAGATATACAAACATAGACACAACTTCAACCGAGAGGATGGTTTTAAATTGAGCAATCATTGGAAAGATGTCATCAACCAAGTCAAACTGCAGCTGCCTTATAATTGTACAGCCATTTCCATTTCTTCCAGTTGGTTGCGCTCGCTTTCGACAACCGCTTGCGATTGCCTTCCTGTCCCCCTAACCCTCTGTAGCATAACAAAAGGCGGCTTAACTTAGTCCCCCCCCCCCCCACGGCCCTTCCAGGCTCCTCCCCCTCCCCCCCCCGCCCTTAACCTGTATATAATCTCGGGTATCTTAGAGCTCTCTTCACTTGATACAGCAATTTTGCTGTGACGGTTTCCACCTGAAGATGGAAGCTTGTGTTGCCTCCGAAACGTCGTGATTTAATTTAGTTGTTTTCATTTATTTTATTTTACCTACGTGACTTTACCGAAAAAAAACAGAGTATAATAGTTGTTTTGCATAGACAGTGGGTCATTCTAATTGCCCGCAGCATTGCTGGGTAGTGAAGAAAATCTAACTTTTAAAGTTGGTGGCAAGTACCATTAATGCTCGGCTAGGTATTCCTGGAACGAATGTAAATAAACGTATGCATGAATTGATGGCATGCTTGGAATGAAACTGGGAGACAGAAACAGGGACATATTGATCAGAAAAAAAACATGCATATTGTACACATCATATTCACTGTTCCGGAAAGTATTTGAACAGAATACATTACAAGAAGGAATGTGACCAGTGGATGAGACCGTCATTGGAATGGCAGCCAAAGTAGAACACACCTCTGGGAGTAAGGATGACCACCACCGCCACCAAGATGGAGTGACGAGATCAGCTCGTGCGTGTCGGAAAGACGTATTGCGGCAATGCAGGACCGCGAGGGATGGTGGCATAGTGATTAGGTTTCATCCAGCAATGGATACATCATCACTGCTGCTACTGCTGACGATATTCTGCTCCCCATTGGTGGCGTGGACTTTTCTCAGGGTCACTCCGGGGTTTCCCTCTACATTTCGAATCAACGTGCGTTTATCATGTTTGGCTGCTATACATTTCCACGTGATAAGCCACTTCTTTGAGCTATCATTTGTAGCAAGCTCGCTTCTGAAAAAGAGCTGTATAGCTCGGTGGGCCTTACCTGGTAAAATAAAAAAATATATTTACAAAACTATATATCATAGAATAGATTGTATAACCAACCGTGGACTGTACTTTGTTAGCTATGATATCTAATCATGCCAGGGTAAATATGTGTCTACGTGTAAACCATTTCTATAGATGACCAAATGTTAAGTTGAGTTCACGTTTATTTTCTTTAAATCAGGTGAAAACTCAAGAGACCAGGATGAGTCTCATTTGAAAGAGTGAAAGAGGTCACCAAAATGAGAAGTGCAAAAAAATTATACGGAATACAACAATGAATCAAATAGAAATCAGCACAAATATAACCATGTCGCATGAGAAAATAAAATCCAAATTGCTCAAACATAAATGCATTGTGTTATTAACCGCGCAATTATTGATTGATAACAAATCACACTGGCTAATCACATTCCCTTGTGCATTTTTTTTCAGATTACTGGGTGACTTTCTGGTGGAGGGGAGTTCATTTCTGGAGAGAAAAATAAGAGTGGGGCTCTAAGTGTGCCAGTATATTGTGTACGCACTCAAGCAAGCATTCAAATGGCCCCTCGATCTGTCACAGGCATGAGGTAAATTGATTGAACATGCTGCTAATTCCACAGCACGATTCGTATATGTTCTGTAGCTGCTTTTTTGTTGCATTAACTTAAAAGCGAAATAATTCGTGTTCGACAGAATTATACAGGGTTTATTTTTTTTGGTGAATTAATTTAATCCCTTTTTTGTATCCACTATGAATAACGTGTAATGTATTTATTAAAAGTAGCAAGGAACAAAATGTGATGGCGTTGTTATTTATGCATGTGCATGCGCGTGACACATTAAAGTCGAAGCTTTTCTTAATGCCAGATTTATACTTTGTACACCCGTTGTGTTGTGAGCAAGGCATGCGTGAGGCAGTTTTAGCATAGTTCTTCAGCTGCGAATTCTCATCATTACAGTACGCGGCTAATTGGTTAAGAACGTCAAGATGATTAAAATGGTTTGTTTGAAAATCATTGTTCTTGATTCACAAAATGTCAAATATTCCCGTTGTCTGCGTTCCACGCAATTCGTAAGCGTGTCCACACCGGTGCCTTCTCAGCATTGAATTGTGTTCATCGTTTCGCTGCTGTGCTATGCAGTTGTGGGCCATGCATTAATTTACATGCATCTATCAAATTAAGAGGGATGCACACATTAGCAGGGACAGGTTTGGCAGCGTTTTGCAGTGAATGCGATTCAACCTCGGGGTTGAGACAAGTTTGTTCCCCTCTGTTGTGGGGATGTTTGGGAAGGCCTTCAACCAGCAGTGGATATATCATGACTGGTTATGAATGTTTCTAATAGCTGATAGTAAAAAAAGCCATTCTCAGAACGTTTGTCAATTTATTTTCTGGATGAAGGCCTCCCCACGCAATCTTTAGAAACATTAATTGGGATTATTTAGAATATTTTGTTGCTGTAAATGTCCAAATGATAAGCCACTTTGTTGGGCTATGATTTGTGGCGAGATCTCTTCTGAAAAATGAGTTAATACTTCAGTGGGCTTTGCCTGGTAGGATGGGGATTGTTTAGTTTTATTTGTATGTTTGAGTGATTTATTTACATTTCTTGTACTTTGCACTCCTATCATGTTTAAGTACTGTTTGTTGTTGTAACGTTCTTACACGCCCCTATTGGACATATGTGAAATAGAGCTTTATAGCTCATCGGATTCCTCCAGTATAAATATTTCATATTGATTCTGATGTCAGTCATGGGGGTTGTTTGACTGTACATTACCACGCTGGTATTTTGTGGGTTGGTAAAGTGAGGACGATTGGAACAAGTACAGGCATCACTTTCGGCTGATGTTAGCCTTTGTCAGGATTTTAACTTGCTGATGTTTACACCTCACGCCGGCTACTCGTTTAAGGCCCCGTCAGATAGTCTGTGGGTTAAACTCATTTGTAAATCTTGATTTGAAGCTTTCGTGACTGCAGGAATCCATACTCTTTGGTTCTTTCGGTAAAGTCACGTAGGTAGAAAAAAAATAAAACAAATCACAACGTTTCGATCGCAACACAAGCAATCATCATCAGGTGGAACAACCACATTTGTAAATGTAATATTACTAAATACGATATCAATTCCATCACTTCACTTTGAAGCTCACCTTTACTCCGAGTAGACTTTAACACTGATCTGAATCAAACGTGGTTTAATCGGGCAGTTAATCAATCGTTGGAAGCCGATCATTGCAGAAGTTGGCGAGTGAGTGTTTCACCGCTAATTAAAAGCGGCTCTTATGATGTCGCCGATATGAATCGCGAAACGGAGGCTTGGCATCGAGAATGTTCCTTGTTCTCCACGCACACACAAACACGCACAAAGCAACAAGACACAACATCGAGAGAGTGTGGCGGGCGAGGCTGCGGTGAACGATAAGACGATTTTATATTGTTTTATTTCAGACAGAATGTATCTTATATTCTTAGTTCTTTCGGTAAAGTCACGTTGAAGGGAAACAACAAAAAATAAAAAAATATATAAAACAATAAAAATTCTCACGACGTTTCGACCATAACACAAACGGTCGTCTTCAGGTGTGTTGGTTTGCATAAATTTATTTTTAAACGGTGGGGACGACCCTGCGATTGTGTTATGGTCGAAACGTCGTGAGAATTGTTATTGTTTTATATATATTTTATTATTTTGTTGTTTCCCTTCAACGTGACTTTACCGAAAGAACTAAGAATATGAATTACTGCAGTCACGAAAGCTTCAAATCAGAATGTATCTTGTTGTGTTTTCGCTGTAGATCTTAACGACAGATTCCAGTAAAAAGGAGAAGGATATCCAGAAACGGCGAAGCACTGCGAGTAATGATTGGAGCGAGTGCTGCGCAATGGGGAACACACGGACGTCGCCATGGGGACGACCCTGCGATTGACGGATGATCTCGCAGCGTGGCCGACGCTTCCTGTAATCAAGGTGTCAGCGTTCAATTTGATGCGACGCCTGATCACCTCTCATTAATTTGCTCCAAAAAAAAGGGGGCGGTGGGGGAGGGGTGAGAGGCGAAGAGAGCCCGGATGTAAAATGCGTCATCATTAAAACGTGTGCGCATAAAAAACACAAGAGAGGATGCCTTTTTGTTGTTTTTAAATGCGTAAGTGCGCGGCGTTTCAACGAAGGGATTTGTTGAAGCCGCTTTGTTTTTTTTTTGCGGTACACAACTGGTGGCACACGGATTGCAATACAATGTTTGATCAATGTATTAACGAATACGACGTTTACAATAATTTCACGTACCGATGTTCCAGCAAAACACGCCTAACGAATTGACCGTGGTGTGCGTGTCGTGTATTGTTGGTGGTCATAGAGGCGATTGTCTTACGTCGGAATTACAATCGCCCTTTGCAACAAACCAACAAACAAACATCACACACGCGTCTTAAATCTATATTGAACCTGTGCAGATGCCGAAACAGGCGCGAGCATTTGTCGGGCGCGCGCGCCGCCGCAGTCACGTGGTGGTACCGTGGGCACGCGCGCGCGTGCGTGCGCGCGGCCCCCTTGTAACCGCGTGCACGCGCGCGTGTGGCCATGGTAACGGCGCGTGTGAGTGGCTGGACGACCCCCCCACACACACACACCCACGGCCCCGCAATGCCTGGAGGGGGGGGGGGGCTTCAACGCCGCCGCTGACCGTGCAAAGGGGGTGAAGAGATGTTCAATATATATAAAGGTGCAGACCTGCAAATTTTCTCACAATCTCCACTCAAAACAACACCGCGGGGTTGGTGGGAGCTGTAGGACGTCCACGAGAGGGAGCTTGTCGAGAACTCCACCTCGAGGTGCGGTCGGCGTTCTCTTCCACTCTGACCAAGACGTCTTCAAAGAGGTTGTTAATACCCACACTTTGAATGTGTCTTATGTTGAACTTCTTTCGCACCGTACATAGCCAAACATGGGAATCGGAGGTGCGGGTGGAAGGACAACAAACTAAACACAAAAACAACCGTTGTTGAGAAAATAGTTTGAAATCTAGATTTAAAAGTGCATAGCTCCAGTGGCTTCCTCATAGCTGAAGAAAGAGCTTTCCAGATGGCCACAGGAGCGCATGTGAAAGTGCACGATGCAGTGACCATCTTGTCGACTAAATGTGGATTAATAAATATTCTGATTCTGGTGTACCCATGTATGCTGCTGAGCGGACATAGGCCGGGAGATTTAATACACTTGTAGCGAGTTCAATTGAGTCGCAGACAAACTCTTTGGAGGCAACACATTCATTAACACCAACACACGTGGTAACTGCCCATTTACAGGATAACGTCCTATGGTGGTGACCACCAGGCTAACTACACTAATTACACCGCAACTAGCTACAACGGACCGGACCCCAGCTTGGGTCCCGGTCCACGTGTTGGAGACTCGATAGGATTTCGAAGGTAGACGAATGTTTATTCAGGATGAACAGCCAGCGCTGGTCCCTCTGGGGGACCCGGCTTATGTTCTCCGAGGCGTGGCTGGCTCCGCCCTTGGCCACGCCCACCTTCCAGAATCCTCCAGCAGGATCTCGACCCTGACCACGTGACAGCCCCTAGCCCCCACTTGGGGCCCCTGTGTAGACTTAACCGGTCACTTGTCCTCTGGGGTTCAACCAGAGTACCAGGGCCTATAGTAACCCCATTCCCATGGCCGGTACTCCCACACCCTATCCTGTAGGGGCCGGCACTGCACGCCAATCGTGGTGCCATCCAACGCTATCGATCAGTGCTCACTGTGCCTCTCTAGGGCCGGCACCACAAAGTGACATCCCGCGATGTCACTACACACTTATTATTTTAAATTGTTGCAGAATCGAATTGAACCCGTGTGCAAAACATTACACCACGGTAGCATCTCGCTTTTCAAAGCCTAAGACATCTTTCCCTCAGTGGAGCTGAGGGTGGAGCGGTGGCTCAGTGATTAGCACACCGCTATGGACCTGATGACCTACGTTCATTTTCTTCCCAGCCACAGCTAATATAAGTGGTGAGTGGCATCTGAACAAGTTATGGCTGCCTCTACGATGCCTTTTTATTGCCACAACACCTCTCCATTAAGTTTTAAAGTATCCCACCACGTCACTTTATGTCTGTACCTTTGCTGCCGACCTATGGGCACTACATTGGCCACCATCGCAACTTCCTCTTCATGGTAAAAGTTTTACGCTTTTGTTTAGCTCTGTTTGGAACTATCAATTGTCTTGCCCTATTATTCTGTGCAATTGCTGTCATCCTCTGCATTAAAATGCCAGAAGCTTGCTTTGTAGTTGCTCTGCGAAACATTCAGCTCTCTGACCCATGCAGTTACACAAACATTCCTCCGGCCTCAAGTCTAAACAATAAAACTGAGCTCTCTACATTTCACGAGCGGTTTGTGTATTCCACCAAACCTCAACACATTCCTTAACATACTCACGGTATCATCCACATCCCTGTCTAAATACACAGCGTCCGAATGGCAAAATTGCATGGAACCCATCCATAATCACTGTCACCAGTGTCGTTTATACCGATGCTCGCGTTAATACCCCAGTGTCCAGCCTCACGGCACCATCACTACCAAAAGCTGAAATGCCCCCCAGCCAAAATACTCAGTTAGAAAACAAACAAAACATGCAAATATAATATATTTCACAAAGAAGCGTGTGTTCATTGCAAAGAATAAAAAAGACAATAAAATGACAGAGCTGATGTTTTGGCTGACAGGATATCGTCGGCATGACAGTTTTTGGGAGAATTATGCATTAACCTTTCACCTTAATGTCTTAGAAGAAATGTCAGCCAAATGTCTGCTGCACTGCTAATCTAACAAACAAAAAATTGCACCCAGTTGGCAAAATGATTTAAAATGTGGCTATGGTCCAAATGTATGTAAGAAAATATGTTGGCACATTTCACTGGGGTGGAATCACTGTGACCTTTCCCTTCGACCTTTGGAAGAAAAAAAAGGAACCAATTTCTCGATATCATAATTCTTGGAATTTCACTGCAAATTTTTGCAAGGTTTTTCAACCTGATATAGCAAGTCCCTTACACACATGCACAGACCAGACAATTTCATAATATTCCTCACCTGTGAGGGAAGAGATTGCCAATTGATGGAATGCTACAGTGGTACTTAATGCAGTCGAGTTTGAAATGATTAATGTCCGTGGCACCTATAGGATCACACATTTTTAATGCAATGCGCAAGTACAGCATTCTAGGAGACCCAGTGACAGATCCACGTGTAGAAGCAATGAGTAAAATAATGTGCCCTTATTAGCTGGCGGAAACATGACTGCAGACTGTTTGCTTCTTTGCATAACGATCCGGGGACACAAATGTCACGGAGAGAAAGCCGTTCAATAATAGAAACTCATTTGATATTTTAACAGACTGTTGCAGTTGCAGTAACGCTATAACAAAACAAACTTCTATTTTTCGTTTTGAATTACCCCACAGATTCTCTTCGGGATCCTCCTTGAGAGTCCACCCAAACAACACACCGTGAATACAGCATTTGAAAAAAAAAGCAACCGTTGATTTATTTTAACGCCATGCAAATAGCATGCGTTCGCTGGCTCGTTTTCAGAGGTTTTTTTTGTTCCACTTACATATGTATTACGTTCTTGCGTGCCCATCTGTTGAGAGGAGCGAGCTCTCTTGAACAGAATTTCAAGGGGAGCCACGTGGGCTTTCGCACAAAATTTGAGGCCACTCGAACGTGGCTTTAATCAGACCACTGCAGGTGCAGCCAAATCCACGGAGGGCAGATGTTGTGCCACCGCAGCGGGGCAGCTCGGCCGGCGCTACCCGCTCCTCGCACCCCCCACCCCCCACGAACGCACGCACGCCCCACTACACACTCGCATGCACCCCCGTAGGGTCTCGAGGAGGGATCACGTGGTACGATGGGTTTTCACCCGAGGATCCCACTAGCAGGGACGTTCCACGGTTTCCCCGGACCAGAGAATTGGCTGAGCCCCCCAGACCGGATTACATGGCGCCCCCCCCCCCAAAAAAAGGGGGCATAGAGCTTTACAGGCAGGCTGCGATGAAGCATACACAACACGGGGGGGGGGGGGGGGTGGGACCTTCAGCCAGTACCCAGCGGCAGAGTAAACAGCGGGGTGGGAGGGAAAAGCCCCTAGGCCGATAAGAGTTGACTTAAGTGGGAGGGGGCAAGGGGATTATCGATGAGTCAACGGCGAGGGACGCAGGTACAGAGACAATGGGAAGGGGGGGATGACGCGCCCCCCCAACGGCGCGGCTTTCGTGCGCCGGCTTTGCGCACGAGCGTGTCGAGTTTTGTTTCGCTGCAGACACCGACGGCTCTCATCAAAGCGAAAGTTATTTAAACTTTGTTCCCTTTCCAAAAAACGCAAATTTGTGCTGGGTTTTCATGCCGTGTCGCGTTTAGCCGCGTGTCGGCGTCAATCACAGGAAGCCATGTCAAATAACTCGTTTAAAAGTGCATAGCTCTCTCGCTGGAAAGCAACAACAGCAACACGAAAAAAAACCCTTCCACCTGCCTTTATTCATTTCCAGGGAGGAAAGTAGTTTATTTTGCCCTGTGGCGTTAAAAAACTAAGAAATGAATAATTAAGTGAACGTAGCCAGTGCTGGAAGTTGACAGTGGCAAAAGCACAATTTTATACTTTTTTAATATTTAACCGGTGTATATATATTCTTGGTTCTTTCGGTAAAGTCACGTAGAATGGAAAAAATGTAATAATAAGCTTTAATAAAAAAAATAACCGGTGTGTTTTTTTGTTATTGTTGTCGTTGTTATTTGTTGCATTTGCTATCCCTCCCAAATGTATTCACATTGTTGCTGTTGGTGTTACGTAATTTGATGAATCTTGCAGCGAGGAGTGCATCGCCCTGTGCCAGGGATCGGCACCACAAGATGACATCACAGAGCGCACTTGTGAACGCCACTTAATTTGGCCCCTCTATCCACACCAGGGCCACACTTTGTAGTACCCTGAAGTGATAGCCCCGTCGCATTGTCAATGAAGCCAACATTTTTAAAGTCTCAGATCTGGAACAAACCAATTCGGTGACTGAACTCGGAGACTTGGGAACCTACTTACTTCAATCACGGGCGTCTACCGAGATTCTAACCCATGACCTCAGCAGTACTGGCTCAGCGCTGCCCCCTGAGCGGCCCAGCGACCTCTGACAAGCACGCTGATTGTGTGTCTGTGCGAGTGCTAGCAGCATACCGGCTATCGGTATGCTGGCCACACCACCAGCTCGTGCATCATGTCGCATCTCCGATTAGACACGGTTGGCTACGTACGGCGCGAAAGAAGGCCAACATGCATCCGTGCCGGCCTTGATGGGTGCTCGCTAACAGCCCTCGCCCCAACAAACATTCTGTTCGAGGCTATGCGAGGGATATCTGCCTATTTTGTACGTGCATGCGGGGAGTGCAGCCGTGGAGGTAATTGCCACATTGCGCTATAATAGCGACGATGGTTCCAGTGCCAAATGGGGCTTTGAACAACGTGCAGGCTTCCCCAAGCTTGACCCTCCCAGACGCTAATAACAAACCGCTGCAATATGTCTACATAAGGAGGCGAAGAAGGCAGCGAGAGACGTGTGATGCTGGCCAGAACCGTCCCCTTGAGGGTCTTGCCAGCCTTTGAAGGTGCTCAGCCGCAACCCGTGAAGTTAAACAGGGCTTCTTCGGCGTTTTTATGCAGCATCTGGCTCTTTTTGTTCTGCCGAATAGAAAGAAAGGACGCGTTTTGATGTTTGGCTGGTGTGCTTACTTCAAGGGGGTAGAACATTATTTTCGGTAGGATAGTCTGCGGGTCAAAGCGTATTAACATCTTTCATTTTCGCTTTTTGAAGAAATGTAAATTTTCTTCTTAAACTTAAATTATATAGTGAAGGGAAATAAAATAAAATTATGCAGAAA